TGTGTAAATACCCAACCTTTGGAAAGATACTGTATTGTTTAAAGGAGAGTGAGTACTTCAGACTCTTCCTTCTGGAGTCTCTTTGTATGATTATTTGTTCCAAAGAATATATCACCTTCAAGAGAGGGACAGGAGTTAGTAGTTCAATACAGAAGTGCTATTATAATGACCTTTTTGAATGGGTTCACCAGTCTCAGAACAAGGAAGATTGTCAGGTACCATCTTGTGCTTAATTGTGCTTTCTGCAGTGTCTTGTAGTTATTCTTAGTGTGAATTTACATTCAAATATTGTTATCCTACCATAGCAAGATGTGTTTGACATAAATATTGAAATGCTGCCATAAGAAGTAGGGTAGAGAGGAGGAAGAGGATTACGTACACTGATCTGCAGATTTCCATTGCAGAATTGGGAGAGAGGACTTGTTCACCATGTTTGTCTTGCCTGAAATTACATTAGGAGCAGGTTACCATCACATAATAAAAACCTCCAAAGTGAACAAGATTAATTATAACTGACAGATTAGATTTCAGTTTTAACTCTTAATTGATTGCTGTCATTAAATACTATTGAAATTGTTTTGTGATCCTGCTGTTAACAAAAGCGTTTGTGGAAGTGAGAAGTACACTTCATGGGTTTTGTTTAGTTTTGGTTTGATTTTCCATATAGTTTCCTGTAGGACTCATTTCTACCACCATTAATTTTGCTTTGGCATCATGAGATTTCTGTCTCTCCTCCAAAGTCAAAATGACTATGAGAGGTAAACGTTTTAATTTATTTTAGAATATCAAGTTGGCCAAGACAGCCATAAAGACACCCATGAAAGAGGACTTCTAGCACCGCTTCGGAAAGTGGCAAAATCAGTAGGATAAGTATGTTTGAAGCACGGAGGAGGATTCTGAGGGGCATCAATGACACTGTGCCACTTACTCTAATTTTAAAAAAATTTAAGCCGGAAAAGGTAGTGCATGCCTGTAGGAGGCAGGAGGAGCACTGCAAGTTCGAGGCCATCCTGCATAGTGAGCTCAAGGCCAGTTTGAACTACATAACAAGATTCTATTTCAAAAAAAAAATTAAAAACTGTAAACATTCACCATATTTTTCAGTCATACCTCATTGAAGGGTTGAATGATTTAGGTAGTTAACTAGCTTATTTAGAGCCCATCCTGATTGGTTAGCTTTAAAAGGCGTGGTAAACCCAAGGTGGAGTGTATTTGTGAATTAAACACCTATTGAGAGAAAATTTTCTGATCATAGACTATAACTGATAGTCTATATTACAGCCAATATGAATTCAGTAACATAATATAGGAAAAAAAATAACTCCCAACCTGTTAGATGTCAGAAGTGCTGTTTGTGTGCCCTGAAATCTAAGAAGGAATTCTAAATGATAAGGTTAAGAGAAGGAAAGGTTTATTGGGGAAAAGGAATAGCTCCTGAGACATAGCAGGGGCCCCAAGTGGATTGCCACTGAGTCCCCTTGTCAAGGGTAATTTATACAGCAGAATCATAATGTGGATACAGTGTGGGTCAAAACGTAATCAACCAATAAGATTACAAGTATCGCCACTTAGCTGTAAGACGCGGGGCACATAGCAAGTGCATATGACTCACAACATTAACTTTGGCTTATCTCTGACCCCTAAAACTGCAACGTTTTTGGGAAGGGATGAATCCAGGTGTTCAGGTCACCAACCTGGGTTTCTGATGCACATCTGGATTTCATGGATTGAGTGGTACTAATTACAGTATAATCCCAAATTCTGCTTATCCTTCAGGGAAGTATGCAAGTCTGTCCATTGTGACTTTATCTTGGGGGCTTGCCTTCTTCAGATACACCTCCAGCCACAGTTTTCATTGTTTGTTTTTCTACTGACTTCCTTGAGAGCCCAGTCCCTCTCTGACTGTACATTAATTTCTATCTAGTATAGCTGCCCATAATAAGACTACCATTCTATTTGTCTTCCAAAGAAAAATTCACCAAAAGAAAATGATGTTTTAAAAGTATACATTGATTCTTACAGTAGTCAGAAATCCTGACTCTGTGAAAATGGATTGAAAAAAGACATGGTACTGAAGGTGTTGATGTAACATGTTCTGCACAGATGGAAATTATAGCTGTCTCCAGGTCTGGTCTTCCTCAAGCAGAGAGTTTTACACTGATAAAATTCTAATGACTCATATTTTAAAGAAAATTCCACTTCTTTAATAATTAGAAAGAAAACTATAAAATTTTATTTGGGAAAAAATTCCTTTAAACAAAGCAGGCATCTCTTTATTTTTAAAATATTTTAACCATGTAAAGTTAGAATTGTGTTCGTCTAATCCTATTCCGTAAGGAAACAGTTGTTTGTATTGTGGTATGTAATCCCAATTATCTATCATTTTACCTTTTATTTTATTTTTTATTTTATTTATATATGTGTGCTTAAAGTGATCTAAATCTATTTTAATTTGTTTTTGTTTGTGTGAAAAGGCATCCTAGAATTTCCTGACTTTCACAAATCTTATTTAGAAAAGAGAAAATAATTATGCGTAAATTGAAGAACTATTGGGAATGAATCTTAATGTATAAATGTATCCATACCTTACTTATTATTCATGTCCACATGTTGATTTTTATACCTGTGCTGTGGTTTACATGTGGGTCAGACATTTAGTTCTGTGCTGCCGAATACACAATCCTCATGTAACTGTTCAGCATTTAATTGTGCCAAGTCCAAATTGAGCGATTTTATAAGTGTAAAACACACACTGAATTTGAAAGACTTTGTACAAAAGGAAGAATGTAAAGTATCTCAAAATTTAAATTTTTGGATAGACTTAATTAAATAAAATTACATTTAGTTTGATCTCTTTCCCTTTTTATTTTAAATGTGGCTGCTAGAAATTTTTAAATTGCATTTATGAGTCACATATTTCGATTGGACAGTGCTAGTTTAAATTACTTGTTTGTATACTTAACATTTTAAAAATACTGTAATATCATCTCAACAGAAAACCCTGTTGAATGATTTTCAACAGTAACTGATCTTTTCTTAGTATTTTATATGTTGTTTTTCAGTGTCGTCTTTTGATTCTTTTTGTTGTTGCTTCCAATACATTAGTACTTTAGCTCTCCCTTTGATACCAGTAAGTCTCCTAGGAGTTTAAGTAGGTCTCAGTGAAAGCGATACTTGAGCCTTATTCATATGTTCAAGTTAGATCATTATTCCTAATAATTGCTTTAAGTGCTTGGATAGATCAGCACTTGTGTCTTGAATTGCTTCTTATTTCTTTATAAAGACATTTCAAGAAACTGCTCCATGTGATCCCCTTTCATTATTTTCTTGCAAAAAGTAACATAATCCTTTATTAGTTTGTTGGAAGTCAGAGAAGGAAAAGCTTTTTATGTTAGCAAAGCAAAATATATTTCCAGGTACTGAGAATAAAGAGCAAGATTAGTCATGAATGAGTCCTGTGAACATTAATTTTTTTTAAATAAATCTTGAATGCACTGTCAGTCTGCCAGTGGCCTTAACCTCAATTTTATTTTCCTATTATGCACTACTTGGGTCCAGGTTGTCATCAGCTACCATGAGGAAACCTATGCATTTCCTAGAGAGAGAAAAGTTGTACTGTTAGACTTAATAGTATGGTAGTCATGGAAGCATCAGTTATCTTCATCAAGGCAATTCAGATTTGATTATTATAGAACTGTGTTGAATACCAAACCAGTGGAGTAGTAGCTGGAGCTAAATCAAGGGATTGTCATTTTTGTCAGATGATTAGAGCTGGCTTGGAAGAGATATGAAAGGGTTGAACTGTGTAAATATTCTCTTTTCAGCAGAAAAAGAAAAGGTCCATCATGGCCATTAAGATGCAGCTTGTTAGCTTGATGAATTTCAAACTATTTAACCTTAGCAATTATATTCTCTTCTCTCCCCCATGCCTACATGCAAGCCTATCAGTGGGTTGGGATTATGTCTGCATAACATATACATAATATTTCATCTTCCATTAAGATGAAATATAGCCTGTGTCTAGATAGACCTCTTAAAGTGCATGCTCTGGTGCAAAGATCTAATTAATACTTGAATCATATGGTTAGATAAGCATTAGAGTGTATTTGTAAGTTTTTAAAACTTTTTTATGGAAAGTACATGTAATTTAACATTTTAGAGATGATGGTATTCATTTAAACTATGCTGTAAATATATTAGAAATAAATTTTTTACTTACCTGTGAGGGTCTTGATACATTTAAATAACTAATAGAGTTAAAAATAGCAACAATTTTAAATGGACATACCCAGCCTAATGATGTGAGGACATTTCTACCATATTATAAATAATATTAAATGCCAGAAAGGGTAGTGTTATTGCTGCTTTTATGAAAATGTCCATTGGCCAGTTTAATGCTTATCCTGCTGATATTTCCACTACCTGGTATGTTTTGGTCACTTATTAAACTCATAAATAAGAATAGATGATATAGAAACTGCTAACTTCAAAAGAATTGCTGAATTTTGAAATAACATTCATTTTAGGAGAAGGAAGGCTTAGTGTGCCATCTAGTGGACATATTTAGCATTCTTATCCTCAAAAACTAGATGATGATTTTAGTCTTGCTCCAAAAGGTAGTTTTGTGAACACTGCGTCTCTTACCCTTTAACAGAGTTTATGTTTGTGTTACATTATATATAATTTTTCAGCTTTGTTTTTACTTTATCTCATGTTTTGGAAAGTCATTAAGTGATCAAAATCATCAAAAATAAATCAAATGATAGGAATAAATCTATTTGAAATATGAGACAAGTTAAAATTAAATATATTAAAGCCATTTGTTTTAATTAGGATGATGATCAGTTAAGGAAGAACTTAAACAATTAAGTAAAACCTAATTTTTCATTACGTATATATATTATTTTCTGAAGAAAAAGGGTGATTTCTGTCTTTTATATGTTAATAATAATTTCGGTGGTTTTAACCATTTCAATTTGTTGCCTTTTTTTTTCCTTTAGAGAAATCCAAGACCAGTGACTTACCAGTTTCATCCCAATTTAGATTATTACAAAGCACGGGGAGCAGACCTTATGAATAAAAGCCGGTAAGTCCTCTATCTCTGATGGTAGTTCTCAGTTAGAAACATAGTCTCAGAGGTCATCAGAAAATGTTACACATTTGCTGAAATTTGTTTTCCATATTTTAGCATATCACTGGCTAATATGCATAATGAATCTTGGTTGAATTATCTAAGTTCTTTTAAGGCATAAGAAAATGTTGTATTTTAACATCAGTGGTAACATGAAAAATTAAATAAATGTAAAAGTACTTTTTACAGTTCGAAGTTAGGCAACTTCATTTCTCTAACAATAATAAACCTGAATAAATTGTGCCTACTTGGTATAATCTCTTTCTAGATCCTTGCTGTTGATTGAAAAGAGGCAGTTTTATAATATATTTTAAATTATTTCAGTAGCAAAATTAAAATTGGGTTTCCCAACTGTCTTTAGAGCTACACAATAAGCTTATAAATGCATCTTTTGTGTGCATTTGTGATCGCATACACAGAAATTTTAAGGGTCACTGTAGGAATAAAAAAACATTAAAATCGTACTTTTTAAAGAAATTAACATTGGCATAAAGGGTTGATGAACAGTTTTGTTCTTTCATAATGCATACTCAGATGTCTCAAGAGTTAACTTGTCAAACCAGAACCATTTCAAATCATAATATAATTTCAAAGTTTACTCTGGAAGACTAAAAAAATGTTAGAAATGATAAATGCTACCAAGTTGTCCAAATTTTCTTTCTTAAACATTTTGGCTATGTGCTAGCTTTCCTTCAGTAGAATTCCAAAAGCCTAAATATGCATTCATGCAGTGCATATGCATATTGTGTTCTGTTACTAAAGAATTAAAATACCTGCCACATGGGACCTTATAGTCCAGGGCAGTGGTGGCGAACCTATAGCATGTGTGTTACCTATTTTTGTTTTGAGATAAAAGATGTTAGTGTATGAGTTGATTTTTTTCAACCAAAACCTCAGCATTCAGATTTAGTTGCAGTGTTGGCACTTTGTGATGACTAAGTGGGTTTGGGGCACTCATCTCTAAGACGTTCACCGTCACTGGCCTAAGGGGTGAGAGGCAGTTTATAACAAAGTGGCTAAATTTTAAACTTAAAATTTGAATCCTATTACAACATTGGAAACAATAGAATGTCATTAGAAAATTACCCAGCTTTAATTGAAATGTTTGTCCAACTTTTTGATGTACTCTAATCTTGAGACCAGTTTTATAGCCTGTGAGATTTTTCTGAAGTTCTTTTTTGTATGTTCATTTCATCTGAGTCTCATTTCCAAATAGCTATTTCATGTAGTGACTTGTTCATTCAGTTCAACAAAATTTTATTGAGTGCTAGACTCTTGATTATTTCAGCCACTACAGTACAGATTCTGAGTGAACAAATCATACAGAAATTCCTACCCTCAAGAATCTTACAGCTTACTCACTTATATTTGCTCCCTATTGTGACAAGTGTTTAATTTTGGTATTTTTTTTAAAAACAAAGTATTTTGGGTTCTTTTTTATACAAGATCCTTCTAACTAGACTCTTTTCTTTCCCCCAACCCCCACAAGATCAATTTTCACAAAACAGTGAGAAAAATGTAAATTTACAACAGGTCATGCATGCTCTATTTAAACCCCTCCAAAGCCTTCTCATTGCCATTGTAATTAAGTCTTCTTCCTGAGGCTCTTTGCTATTGTTTTTTGCCATGGTCTCCTTCTAATCTCACTTTGTCTTTACTCCCATGCCACCATCACTTTAGCCTTCCCTTGTTTCTTGCTCTTATGGAGGGACTTTGCATTTAACTCTTCCTTTATACTGGAGCACTCCTACCCACATCTTCCTATGCCTCTTGCTGATTTAGAGCTCTGCCAAAGCACCATCTCAGAGAGGTCACTGTTGTCTGTTCTTCTGCCTGCCTGTCTCCCATTACTCAATTTTATTTTCTTCATAGAGTTTGTTACTAACTAAAATTACATTAATTCATTTGTATATTTATCATGTTTCCCCAAACTTCTCATTAAAATCTAAGCAGCAGGAGGTCAAGCACTTTGTCTTATTCATGACTTTATGTCACCTGTCAATGCTTGGTATAGGAAAGACCTTTGACAAATACTCACTATACATATGTATTTTCCACACTATCTTTTCCCCCCTAAAGAAATGGACTGTGCCCTTTCCTTTCTCCTTTTGATTCCTCTAGCTAGCCTTCCCTCCCTCATTATTCTGCAGACTATTGGATGTTTTATTTTCTTGTAAGCACATTAAACTTTCTGTATAAAATATCATTTGGTTATTGGAAGGAAGAAGTTTGATCATCTCATGCAATTTCAAAGCTTGAAATTGAAATCAAACCACATCAAATATAATTTGTGAAGTAGAAGACATCGTAGACCAGTGAACGAGGAGTTACTAAATGGTACTGGGAAAATTAGGAAATCTTTGAAAAGATATCATGTTATAACCTTAGCACACAACAAAATAAATTCCTCAGTTCAGTCAAGCAAACACACATATAAAATAGAAGTCCTTGTCTGACTAAAAGTTACTTAAAGACTTTTTAACCTTGATTTTACTTTATCGTACAACAAATATTTTAATGTAAATATGTCAGAAGAGGATAATCTGAGTCAAAAGACAAGTACAAAAATAGGAAAGTATTTGTGCTTGATGTAACTGACAAAGTAGTATTAAATTACTAATGTATAAAGAACATACATAGTTGAATAAAAATCACAGGGTTCTGTCTGAATGGCCATTCTGTCTCGCGCTATTCTCCCTGTGCTGGCTCGTATCACTTCCTCTCAATGCTGAAACACCTTAGGCTTGTTTTCTTCGCCGTACTCATTCCCTAGAGAACCTCAATCCACCCTGTATGACTGAAGCATCAATATTTATGTCTTCAGTTTTACCTCTTGAACTCACATATCACTCTACTTAAATTTTCCTCTCAGATGTCCTATATGCATCTCAAATTTAATACTTTCCAGATTGAATTGTTGATTTTTACCTCCATACTCACAATCCTGTTATTTCTCCAGTGTTTGTCCACCACAATAAATAGCCCTACCCAGTGGCCTTAAAATAGCCCTTGATTCCTTTTTCTTTTAATTATACAAGCCCAGTAGCATATCCTTTTCAAAATATCTTGAAACAAGTTACTTTCCTTTCTTTGTATGCTGATACCAAGTTATCATTACCATTGCTCATCTCACTACTAGACTCTTTACTATTCTTCCTGTTTCCCCAACCAATAGCCGGATTAATATAAATCAGATTATATCACTTCACTGCTCAGAGCCCATGACTTACCAAAACATTTAGACCAAAATTAAAAATCTTTTTAGTGGTCTATATGATCTAGCCTCCTGCTGTCTCCAACTTGATTTGTTTCCATCACTCTGCATTTGTTCACTGGGCCACAGCCAGATGGCCTGCTTCATTTTCCTCAAACACTTTCCCTTTCTAGAACTTTGCATGTGCTTTTTTATGTTTGGAATGTTTTTCTTCATGAATCTGTGTGGCACACTCACTACTTAATCTGTTCAAATACCATGTCTTCAGAGAGGCTCACCCTGACGTCTCTGTCAACAGTAATGGGCTTCTCTACCCCCATCCCTTTACTTTGTTACTGTTTTTGTTTTGTGTGTTTTTCATAGCAATGATCATTGCCAAAATGCTTTTTAAGATTTTTATTTTCTGTGGGTATTTTGTTTGTTTCTTGCACTAAAAACAGACTCCACATTTGACTTGTTTACAGCAGCACCTAAAATTGTGCATAGAATACAGCAAGCACAGAGTAAAAGAACTGCACTCAGCAAATAAATGTTAGCTCTTTCAAACATATAATTAGCCCAATAAATGTATGAAAGCTACAATGGAGTAGCACTTTTACCTTTCATCGTTGCAAACTAAAAACCAATGAACCCAGCACTGGTGAAAGTGCATAGGTTCCCTGTTGCTGATCAAGAGAATATAGATTGAGACAAATTTTATAATCTTGCCAAGTATTTTGCCTACCTCTCTACATAGACCTTATTAACCACCACATTAATCCTTTGTGCACCATAGTCCAGTCTTACCTGTGATCAAACACCATTATAGCTCTGAAGCCACTGGTAAAGTCTCTGTTTAGCTCTTTTAGGCCTGAAAAGTTTTTACCAGACTGAGCCTGTCAGCCATAACTGGCCTTGCCACTACTTTTAAGAGTTGGTGTATTGGGAACTGTCACTGAGGAGCAAGAGGGGAAGTGGGGATGATCCAGAGGGCTGTGTATAACTTGTGGAAGAAAACCCTAGAAGAGACAAGGAAATAGTGGTTGGACAAGAGACATGAAGACACATGGGAATCCAGGGTCCAGTACATGCTACATAGATGGCAATGGACTTCTATTTATGTTATATATCCAAATAAGGAGCAAAGATGCAAATATGACTTGTAATTCCATGGATAAGAATATCTCTAAAAATGAAGAAGCTTGATTTCTGTTCTCTGCTTTAACATGAATTGCTGTAATTAAGTCTCTAAAAGCAAATGGCTAGGTAGTTTAGTGGTAGATTTCCCATTACAAGTGTGGATGATACCTACCGTGCTCTGATTTCATTGACCAGCACGTGGCTTTTTAAAAGTGGGAATTGACATTTTCTTATTCATTCAACTTTTGAACTCAGAATGACAATTTAGCGTTCAAATGTTGCAGTTTTGTCCTTAAGTAACCAGAAGTTGCTGCTATAAAAAGTACTTTTATTTAAATTATAACCAGTCTTCAGAAAGATTCATTTAATTTATTTAAGAATCTATAACTACTAAAATGCCCAGTGCCCAACTGAATAGTCACAGATAAGAATTTAATATTTTTTAAAGACTGCAATATCCCATATTAGTAGAATCACATATCTTTCTTACTCATTCTTTGTGCTAGCCTACTAAGGTTTCCTTTGTACCCTCTCAGAATTTAGTTTAAATAATAATTGATTCAGTTGATGAAAGATCCCAGAATTATAATATCAACAGGTAGACAGGTAGGTTCTTTGCAAA